ACTCACCAACCTCAAATCTGCCGGGACACTGCCTTCAAGCACGCCCACTGCAAATGAGACAGAGAGTTTTACTGAAGTTTACTTTCACTTGTTTATTGGCAACTTGTTCCAGAAAAAGTATACGAGGTTCTATCACAACTATGATTTCCCATATATTGTTGGTATAATGCGAGGCGTACAGTTCTTATGCTGTGTGTCCCAAGTAAGTTCGGCTTCAACTTGGTTCAAAATGAACCGATACTCAAATCACGAAATAAGATTCTCATGATTTACTGTGAATCTGGAAGTGTGAATATGGTCTATTTCGTTATTTATAACATTTTATGTGCGATGTACACTATGCATATTTTGAGGCGATGGTAAGTCGGGTCTGCATTTGCACAATATGCTTGAAAGGTTGAATAATCCTGAGTGTTTGTAGGTACTATAATATTGATGGAAGATTTGATTTGCGTCAGTTAATAAGAGAGCCGGAATACACAGTGAAAGTACAGTACTCGATAGGTAAGGCACAGCGAACGAGGATCCGCGCTTCACCGCGACGCAGCCTGCGCTGCTTCCGCGAGAAGTGACTAAATGTGGAATTTTTTCAGCACTCTTCACGCCAACAGTTCTGAGCATCATGCTGTACACGAATGTTGAACTATACGATGGCTTGATTCGGTTCTTTTGGGCTTTGGCTTGCATTTGTGAGATTTTGCTAGCTTTTGGATTGCTTGTGTTCGAAGCCTATGAAGTTTTTGCAATTGGCAATTGATTTCCGGAAGGAATTTAGTGTTTACATCTCTGCTACAATAAAGTACTTTGATTTAATATACTCTTCATAGCTGGCTGGATTTGTGTAATGCGTAAAATTTCCACGATTTGTAGAAGCAGAGTAAAAAATTTCGTAATAGGACATAGTTCATTCTCGAGAAATGGCACCGGTACTCCGTCGCGCACGCAACGCATACCCTCGCGCTGCGACGCTCTTTGAGGTATCGAAGTTACATAATTTGTAGAGGACATCTTCTGAACGGTTGGAATGAATGGCATACGGTCTGTTTTAAAAAGAAACCGATGAATTACCTTATCCTGGGCAAAGCTGCGTTGCTGGGCGCGCTAGTAAAGCTAGAGAACATAGAAAAATAGTAGGTGGCAGACATGGTCCCACCGCGATATGACAAATTGTCCGATTAATTTTGAGAAATGAAATCCTGGTAAGGGAAGTGGTAAAACAATGTGGACAAGATTTTTATATTTATTTTGAGCGATGGAGAAATTTATAAGGGAATTTATCACACATTTATAGTTTACTCATTTTTCTGGCTTCTTCCATCATTGGTTTCAAATATTTCTCAAATGATGAAGGGACCTGAAATCAGCAGTTGTATGAAGGGTTTTCAGTGAGGGAGGAGTGTATTTACCTGTGTCCTATTTAATTCACTAGCTTGTGCCCATTTGTACAGATTCTCGTAGACGTGCCCATCTCTTCGTCCAAGAACCTTGAAAAATTAGTGGTTTGGCTTTCTACCCTCATAATATTTTTTACTTACCGATCGAAGTTCATGGTCCGAATAGTCCCATGCATCCACTAATGATACAGCATTAGGACGTAATTTCGAAAGTAATCGATACATATCTTCTTTCATGTGATTCAACTGTTGACCAGTCAGATAATTATCCTATAAGCTGACGTAAGCTCTGGGTAATTCATGGAACATTATAAGTCAAAACTTACCTCAAGTAAGTAGTAAGCCATATCTATGAGCTCATAGTTGAGATGTAGATGAAGCAGGTCTTCCAAAACTGCTCGACAAGGAGCGTCAACTATCGTTTGGACTTTTTCATAGAAAGTTCGAGCAATGTATAGTCGAGTATGGAGTCGAGCTGCCTGCAATGGATGAGTAATAGTCAGAATAGTAATGCTCTGGCTCCATGATAGTATACTACAGTAATCGAGGTCTGAGAGGAAGGAGAAGTATAGTGAAATTAGCCTTACCGCAATATCTCAGAAATGATTTTGAAAAGAAAAATATAAAAATCTAATATTAGGTTGTTCCAGTTCTTGCAGTTTTCTCGACCTGGCACAAAAAGACGTAGAATAAAGATGAGCAAACAATTCAAG